TTAATATCACCTCAACGTGGTGCCTGCCACTGGAATGTGCTACCGGTCGAAGAACTTCCTGCGTGGATCATTGGCCGAAAACGCCTAATGCTATAATCCCTATACTTTCCAAAACGCACATCCCACGAGTTGTTGCCTCCCGAATCAACTTTCTCAGCACGGAACTACCCTCCCCCCTTTCCCATTATAGTCCATTTGAAGTAAAGTGTAGTCCCTAGGGGGGGACGCCTACTACTACTACTACTACTACTGCTATTACTACTACTGCTACTACTGCTACTGCTACTGCTGCTACTACTAATACGACTACGACTACCACTACGACGACGAGGATGACGACTACTGCTACTCCTACTCCAACCACTACCATTGTCACCATTACCACTGCCGCTGCCACAACCAGGAGCAACACCACACAAGTATTACTGACCACTACCACGACAAAGAGGACCACAACAAGGAGGACGGACAAAGAAGACGACAGCAACGACAACAACAATAACATCATCATTTGACGCTCGCGCGATTCCCGACGCCCTTTCGAAAGATGGCTTGCAACGAGCGATGCTGGGCGAATCAGGAAAATGGGACCTGAGGTAAGGCAGAAAATATGAGCAGCTGCAGCTATACTGGCAGGTTGTTGTGTGAAGTAGGTTGACGCACCTTTTTGTTGCTTCTCAAGCTGTTTTATGCGCTCTCAGAGCCTGCGAAAAATTTGGACCATCGGGCCTCACGCGGTCAGCGAAGATACCCTCAATCAACTTAGCCCTGTCGATCGCAAGAGTGGTGTGGCTACAGGTCAGTGCATTCGCCCGTTGCCACTTCGCAAACAAAGTACGATAACCAAATGGGCTCAGTGACAGAAAGAGAGTTTTTGCTATATACAGGGCCGGCAAATTTCTTTGGACCTACTCTCCAGCTGCTTCAGGATGCTTCCGCCTTGGGCTAGCTGGAGTTGAAGGGATGGGCTGACAGTTCGGGATGGGCTGACGGTCCGAACTACTGCTAGGCAGGGGAGTGCGTTCCACTACTGCGACAACCTGCATCGGTGCGAGGCGACTTGCCCGAACATGCTTAAGAAGGAGATGGCTGCTCATTGGAGTCGCATGCGTCTGCATCGTATGCGAAGAATTTGCATCTTTAACAAGTCTGGGCGCTCGCGCGAACTTTTGCACGCCCTTTCTGCGGCGCCGGTGCTCACAACCCAGACGCACGCCGAGGAGACTGTCACGCCCCCGTGGTTTGCAGTGGGAGCTTCAGTTGGACGGGAACGCTAAGTGTCTGTTGTTTGCTTGACGCTTTGCAACTCTCAGCGAATTCAGAGCGGATACCTCGCCCAGAGTCATTAATCGCATCACCTGAGTCTGGACTAACCTTTGAAAGTCGGAGTAGGCTTATAGAACGATGGTGAAGCTTATTTGCTGGGGCCTGGGCCAGTGGCGAGCGCAGTAGTCCCTCTGTACGTAAGGACATACCGACTAAATTCCAGCACTTGCTGCCGGTAATCTGTCATGCTATCCCTGACGCTCCAGCCAAAATGCAACCCGCTTGCACGACAGTTCTTTGTTTTGCTTGTAGTGACACACAATTCCGTGCACGCGTCCTTGGCTTGAGCTGGTAGTGCTTAACAACAGCAACAACACTGACAAGGATGACGACACCGACGACGACAATGCCGGCGACGATGACTCTGCTACAAAGAGGTCACCATTTTTGCTGAAATCAAAATTGCATTACTGGCTCTGCCGCCATCGCTGGACACATCGTATAAATGCTTGAGGTAAGGCTCCTGCAGCCCTCTCATTGAAAGCAGAGCCAGAGCTTAAATCCGAAGAACACACGCCAGCTCCCTTGGATAAAGTTTCCCCAACGCCTCACGCCATGTCCGGAAGGCCTGGCACCAGAGAACCTGCCGCACATAGTTGCGTTTCTACAGAAGCATGTACAAAGAGAAGCAACATGCTCTGCCTATATACACAAGCAGGCAAGGTATTCTGAAACTTGTGTTCAGGATTTTCAGACGCAGGTGATGCTAAGTTGAAGTTTATGGAAACCCTGACGGCTAGTAAGACTGCCTATGGCCGGGTAAAATCTGGGATGGTAGGGAGGTGAAATCGCGGTCACACACACACACTGTTTCTCATCGAAAGCCCTCGGCCAATCAGACTCACTCGTACCAAATGGCTCAAATGAACCAATCAGTAGGGTATCGGTTCTCCAGGGAAGTAGGGTCCAAACTCTGCCAGCAGAAGAAGTTCAGACTCTTCTAGGCCCCCTCCTCCTGTCTCAGCTCGACCAGCTGATTCATGATCTCCTGGTGGCTGAGGCTGTAGGTGCATGGTGCATTACATCGGGGATCCCATGTCCTGTCTTGGCCAATGCAGCCCTGGCTTACTATGAAGAGAACTGCTTCAGACGAGCCGTTTATAAGCAGGAAGAGGAAGCCGGGGAGTTTGCAGACATGTGCAGCAATCACGATCCAGACAGCGCAGGCTTCAAAGGGAGAACTTGGGGCCAAGAGGAGTCCAAGATCACTTGAGACACCAGCTTGGATCAGAAGAAACCTGCTCTCCTCCCATTGCCAGGCAGACTCACCCTCTGGGAAAGACCTGATCATGCAAAGGCAAGCATCAGCCCTTGTTGATTTGGCTCACCAACCACGCTTGAATTGTCCAACAGCTCACCCTCCACACCACCCTCATCCATCCACTGCAAGCCTACAGATACTGAATCCTTTTTCAAACGGAAGGGGCCACAAGGCCATGCCAGCAGCACAATTCCCAGGCTTCGTATGCTCCCGCCAGATAGAGGGCCTGCCAAAATGGTCAAGTTTTGATGCTTGCATCTGCACAGGCGTGCCATTTAAGATCCTGATGGCTTCTAACACAGAGCATCTTTGAAGGATCGTGTTAAATTCAACGTTTTCGTCATCTCCTCCGAGCGCTTTCAACAGCGCGCATGCTAGCTAAGACCCAATCAACCAGCTGCCCACACAGAGAATGCTGCAGGTGCTCTCTGTGAAACCCCAAGCCCCGGTTTGCTGCGGCGCACGGCGAAGATCTGCGCAGAAAAGATCTCACGAGGCTCAGGTAAAAAGACCTTGCTGCATTGTTGACAAAAGGATGGCTTCTGGTAGAAAGAGCGCCCCATCATGCTCCATCGCATAGCGTTTCACATCAGCGATGCAGTTCCAGCATACACGGTGCCATCTTTTGAAAAGCATACTGCCAAACCTGCCAGGTTCTATAAACGGGCTAGATGCTGCAAACATCTCAGCGCCAGACCATAGACCCGTGTCCAAAGTCTGCGTCAAGCCAGAGCCTGGGATCAAATGAAAAAAACAAAGAAATTAACAGTCGTCCTGGGAAGGCACTTCTACAAATCTGGCCACAGATGGCCGCACACAAACATGACAATCTCAGAAGTCTGGCTGAGGGTGAGAATAAGACATGAAAACTAGTCAAACCCAGGTGGCAGTCTAGTCGGTTCGTGCTGTCAGTACTATGATGTACGGCCTGGTAATGTTGAAGCCCCGAGAACCAATCCAAAATCAAAAGGCTCTTGCAAATAAGGCAGTGACTTTCAGCGATTAATGGCTCCCTCGGGACGTGTTACGCCGCAGCTCCCAACGGATTCAGGGTGATGATGGCGAGCGACACAGAATGTGTATGACTTCAACCAACGTCTTGCAGCCCATGAGTGACTGCTACACACCAATCATAAAGCAGCCAAGCTACAGCCGAGCTATGTCCATGAGCAGCTGAGCCGCCGTCTGTAAGTCAAGGAATTGAATTGCGGAGGTCAGGCTCAGAATTACAAGCATTTGGCCGTCGCAGTTGGCTAAACTACTCTAAAGCCTTCAGTGCTACCTGAGCTTCTGTTTCTCTTCCAGGTGCTTCAGTTTCGGTGTTCATGGCTGACGAGATGTTGGCCCTAATGGACAGAGCTCAACTCTTTAAGTGAGAGGTGAGCCAGCACCGAGACTCTTGAAGACTTCGGCCTGGAAGTACGTGGCAACAGAGGTGCCACGAGGCGGCAGCCGAATCTGAGGCACTCAGAAGCTTCAGATCTGTGCTTGATGCTGCAATCTCAACACTTCCCTAGGTACAATACTCAGACATGCCCCTTTGGTCCTCGGAGGTTGCGTGGAAGTGCGTGGTGATGAGTGTCGAAAGGGTCTCCTCCATTGAGAGCAGCACTTACGTCAGAATAATCTGTTTGCGAAAACAAGTCCGCCGGACCTCAAGACGTGTACATGACATCTTGGCTATAGCTTGATTTCAAGGTTGCAGCACTCATTCTCAGCATGCCTTGACCTGGTACATCCGCTGCTGCACCTGCACCAAGCTCACAAGAGCCACGAAGCTTCACTTGCTGTGGATCTTATTGCGTGTCACGCGCAACTCCCCGCGAATACTCACTGCTGCACCTGCGAGGATGCTCTGCCCAGCGGGGCGCCAGGGAGAGCCGTGTCACAGCAAAGCGCCTGGATTTGCACGGGCAAAACTGTAAAGAGCTCAGCTCAGGTCAAGGTTGGGCCGCTTGGTCATTGCTAAGCACAAATACTACCACATCAAGGTAATTTTGAGAGAACGGTCACTGGCTCCATTGGTCCATCTGAGGCCATTGCCAGGGTGGCTGCTAAGCTGTCAAACTCGTGCTCGCGGATCATGGGCTGCTCTGGCCTTTTTCATCTCTCGGGCGCGATGTCACACTAAATCACATGTGTCTCTGGTGGGTTTGCTCTTCCACCCACAGACAGGGCGCATGCCAGGCTACAGGCAAGATTTGACCAAATGCAATGCGATGAGCGAGGCCCACTACGCTCTTCTTCACACCAAACAGATCCGACAAACTGACGCAGCAATGGCGGCGTGGTTTGCATGCCCACTGGCCTCTGATTAAGGGACGCGACATACTCCAAGACCTGGGGGGGTTGACAGTTGGCACTTGCAAACTTCTGATAGACATGCCTGCACACGTTGCAACCAGCACTACACTCACTCTCCAAGCCAGAACCACATGGTCATGCAGAGGTCCAAGAGTCCGCGCGATGGCTGCAAAGGAGCCATGGGCCCAGTCGGGCACTGCTTCGTCACTTTGGTTTTCCTGTGCTGGTCAAGATGTGCAGCGCTGACACTAGAGGTGATACTCAGCTTTCCCAGTCCGTGTTAGCACACAAGATAGAAAAATCGATATTGAATGTATCTGCCAACTGCGAAAGACACAGCAGATGTCTAGAACCGATGCAAAGGGTGCACGGACCTTGAAAGCTCGGTGCACGATGAGCTCCACTGGCTCGGCCTCTGGGCTCTGGGCTCTGGGCTCTGGGGAGGCACTCCCGAGAACCACTTCTTAGAACATGTGTCATCAGTGTGATCTGCAGAAGCACCTTGGTGGGGCCAGCGCTTAGCAGGCAAAACGGCTTCTGCAACTTGTGCGCTGCTTTTGCCTTGTGCGGTCTTGGGGCATGACAGCCTCGCCCCCTTCAGGGGCTGGATTGGTCTTCTCGTTCTTGCGCTTGACCTGGAGAGCTACAAGGGAAGGTTTAGAGACCACGCCGCACGGCGTGGCAGTTCCTTCCTCAGCATGACTAGCAAGAAAGCGCTTGATTGCCAGGGAGCATGAACAAGATTGTGCTCCACGATTGCGCGGAACCTGAGTCTCTGCTCCAACGCGATGGCACGCTGAATATCTTTGAACTCTGGGCAAGCAGCATCTGCCACCGATGTGACCAGGTCCATCGTTGGACAACCTCCACCCAAGACAAGTGCCGTCATAAGCATCACCTATGCTACAACGGGGACTCACTTTGCAATTCAAGCATTGTTTCCAGGCTCTGGGATCGTTGGGTTCACATGTTACATGTTAGGAATAGGGCCAGGGTGTTGCTATAAGGCTAATCAGTCATAGTCATGCGAATCTTCCAACGCTTGGCACTTCTAAAAGTTGGCAGCCACTGGTGATGATAGACGAAGAACTGTAAATACAAAGAGGATCTCAACCCGTTTTAAAAAAAGGAAAGTGCAATGATGAGACAGTTGCCAAGAGGCTTAGGTTTGGGGCCGGTGTTAGGCATGAGCATGACCACAAGGGAGCAAAACAAAGAAGCACGACGGCGTGGGCTTAGTGAGATCAAAAGAAAAGAACGAAGCAAACGGCACACAGCACTTGTACAATTGACGCAAGTCCAGTAGCAAGGTTGGCATAGCTCAGACTTGGTTGCAAATCAGACTTCCTCAATGGGCAAATCGGTCCTTTGCATCTGGAAGAGACCCTGCATCGGACAGCACCATCTTGGTGGCTGTGACCTTGCATGTCCACAGTTAAGGTCTGCAGTCTGAGATTTGGCAAAAGGAGGTCTAGAACTCAGCGCCATACTCCCGCATGATCTCCTTTCGTCTCGGTGATCGAGTCCCTTCAAGGCAGGGCGTTCAGCCATTTCATACTGGAAGGTTCCATCAAGAAATTCCTTTTTAGTTGCAGCTCATATCCATGCCGAGCGTGATCATTGATCTCTTGTGACTTTGATTGCCCGAGAAATTCATGCAACCCAAACCTTGGCATTTGACCGACAAAATGTTGGACTGAAATTCCAACTGCCGATCATGCCTACACCGCATAGCAACTGCACAGGTACTTGTGCAGATTCATGGCGGGAACTCTGAGCAATGACGTTTTGCGGTCCATAGTCCCCCTTCAAACTACAGACTCAGAGACCTCAATAGCATCTCTTGCTACAAGCCATCCTCCCGAGAAGTTGATAAAGAACTCGCCGAAGGTCCGAGAACAACTGCGCGGCAGGCTGCACGACAGACTGCAGCCAATGCGTAGCAAAACAGGTTTGATACTGGCCTAGTGCGGGGGTTGAGTGGGGGGCATAAATAGCACTGAATGATTACTCCTCCCTCGCGGCAGAGTATACGGCAATGGCAGCAGGAGTATCTGTCAACACCTCGACAAACAACTCACCCATGGAGGCACATTCCTCAAGCACTGGCCAGTGGCCTTGCAAAAAGTCATCCACCCATCGCAGCGCAGGAGAATCCAATCTTGCCGACCCTTTATTTGCCAAAACCCATATGGTCCAACGAGAAGCAGAATAGTGGGTATGCGCACGCAACCTGACCTGGGTGGACACGGGCGCTCCAAGCCGCGAGACATCCTCCAGCCGCACGTCCAGCCAAACCTGCATCATGAGTTGACAACAATACTGGTTTGGGATGAAGGGTGGAGCAGACATGGACCTGGATACCGGCGCTTTGCTCAGCGGGGGCTACGATTGAGAGCAGTCTGGATGGTTAGCAACAAGCACGCAAATGAGCGTAATCGTAACGAGGATGAAAATCCATCATTGCCCACTTGCAGCATGCGTTTGCCATCTCAGCTAGCTCTCTACGGGCACAAGGTACCTAAAAACAAGGCACTGCTTCCACCTTGTCAGCGAGTGCTGCAGAGCGCAGGAGAAGGCTGGAGGCTGTTGGGAGCTCTTTGGCCCGCTCTTGGTTGACCTGCAGAGACTCAAATCAAAGCCATCTAAAACTTCATCAGTTGCTCCATTGTGTCAGAGTTGACTTCCGCTGGCTTGGGAAGCCTGTCGTATGACATTGTGCTAGTGCTGAAGCACAAGCTGAACAGCTTGTAGAGTTGCAGTCTGATTTAAATACCTTCCTTATGGTCCAGTGGGTACTACCAAGCAAGCAAGGTAGAACAGTACATCCTACGCTCTCGCTCAATTTGCTCCAAGTGACACCAAAGCTTTTACCCCATGAGTCCCATGACAGAAAGACCTTCACTGACAAATCCAATGGTTGCAACGAAGTAGTTGCCATATACATATACATATACATATACATATACATATACATATACATATACATACATATATGTTCATGCAACCCTGCGACAAACCCTCCATGGTGGACGTGCTGCGAACGTGGGCTGAGACTGAGAGGAAGTGCAAACTCCGTTTCCGCTGGCGAATGGAGTCAGCTCTACGGTCCCAAGGTTGCCTGGTGAAGGGAAGTGTCGATTGCCACGGCCTGCACCATGGCTCAAAAATGGCTGTGATAGTCTGCAGACTGTCTGAAACCGTTTGCCTAAGAATGCGCCTACCTGCTGAAGAAGCAGCTCATGCACGAGTGACAACTTCCAGGCATCCTGCCTTCTCACCAGCCTGCCGCCGTTGCCGTTCCAACGTCGCAACAACCTCTGTTGCAAGCTTGAACATGACGAAATTTCAGCCAAGTCGTCTTGACAGGTTCCCAGCACGAGGAGCGAAAAAATGGGTTGGGGAGTTTGCTCTCGGAGGTTGCGGCTTACAACGGACCACTCGCAGCATCTGAGCAATGGGCATTTCTCAGCGAACGCGCATCCTGCTCGTAGACCTCTACAGGTGCAGACTAAGTCCAAAGCAAGTGAAATCTCGCGACGTCAAATAGAAGAAACCCTGGCGGCGGAGGAGCACCTTTAAGACCCGCTCAATTTTGGAAAGCAAAACTCTTCAAAGCACGTGGACCAGCAGAGCTGAACATGCTGAACACACGCTCGTATACGCTCGTGTATAGTGTATAGGTCTTGGCCTTCCTCGAGCACTGCAGGGCCAGGCCGAAGTCGGCATCCTGTGGCACTCTATGCACAAGACTTCAAGGCTTCACGATTGGTGCCTGTTTGGGGTGAGGACCGTGGTACCGCAGAGCAAATTCCAAACGAGCTTTTGTTGAGCTGGAGTCGGCAGCAATTGTCAAAGGTCGGGCATGAAGAAAAACAGAGAGGATGCCGGGCCCTTACACTGGCTGCATCAGCGTCATCTTGATCTTAGCTTTCCGTCTGCCAGAAGTACTGCCCGCACAAGCAGAATGCTTGTGTGCGTGCCTCTTTGCATACGCAACTCCCGGCTAAATGAGCTGTCGCGAGAACAAAGTCATGTAGTTGAAGTGAAGAAGCAGGCCGCGGCCACTAGACCCTGCTATCAACCGAAGGGCTTATCAACGGCTCTCACCTCCACCACATTCAGGATACGTTCGGGCCTTCTCTGCCAATTCTGCCAGAACTGGGGACAAGGCCTCCGGCACAGGGCTTACATGCAGAGCCTTGGCAACCTCAAACATGCTTCTGAATGAGAAGTGTTTTCGTCTCACCTCTAAGGTGCCAGATTATGCTCCAAACGGTATCCACACCTAAACGTATGGTCCATCAAATGCTGCGAAATCCCAGCGAGACTTCGGACCCTGTTGTCCAGCAAGATCATGAGAAGCATCTGCCCCACCACAGCATTTTGGAAAGCAGGATTTCTCGTCTCTCAAAGAGTCAGCTCGCAATTTATCTTTTTGGAAGTCCTTATGGGGCATATGATCCTAAAAAATCACAGCGCATCACTGCATTGTAGTTGGTGTAGCTGTGCATCACGAGTGAAAAGTCATGCTTCTGTCACCTGAGCAATGAGCAACCAAGAGAGGTCTGAACAGCACGTACAACGGTCGCAGCGCACATGGACAATGAAAGTAGGGAAACAGTTTGGTTAGGCTTCGTGCATGCAAGCTTTGATGCGGAGCTTGCACTTTAGCAGCTGAAACCCAAGCAGCAACGGCACCTCCAGGTACACTTCCCTCCATCGCAGCTTCCGGGAGTACAACCTCACGCTGTTGACTTTTGAAAAGTACATCACTACACACGAAACGTGAACCTGTCGGTCACTGTCACTGCTTCCTCTACTACTAGCGAAACAAATCATTGTAGCGAAAATTGCATCCACAAATGCAAGCTGAAGCAAACTTAGATATACTCCAAGATACAAAAAACGGCAAAAACAGTTTTATGGGCGCGGGTTGCATTCTGCACAATTCTCCTCAAATTCTGCGTTGGAGCGACGACGGTGCGGTGAGATTGGCGTGCCTCTCCCCCTAGTCTATGTTCGGTCGCAGGCGAATGTGCTTTGCAACTTGCGCTGCGCATGCGATGAACAAAGAAAACATGCCACAAACGCTCTTTCATAGCACGGGTTGTGTCCCGCGACAGCCGCACACAGATATTGCATCGGAGCGACAGGTTCGCAGGAGAGATCTACATTTCCCAGTCGTCGGCCTGATGTATTGACCGGCCAGGCGGGGTAGTCGCCCATGCCGGAGGAACCAGTACAGTAGCTGAGGCCAATCCAGAAGAACCATTATTGAATCGGCACCGTCCTCATCCCCAAAGCCCTCCGCTGTGACAATGCGGATTGGACCCGGAGCATCGGTGAGGTTGATGATGGCATTGTCGTCGATTTCCTCTTGCGTCAAGGCACCTGTCGTGATGGCCAGGCCTCCAACCTGGAGCAGGATCGGCAAAGCTGCCACATCCCAATCCCCAAGTTTCAGTAGAGGCAGTTTCAGCTCCGTCGTTGCGGCGAAAGGAATTGATGCAGCCTTGCGAAAACCAAGCACTCTCTCAGCCATCTTACGGGGCCGGGGGTGTTCCCGGACCCAAATCCTGCCGGAGAGATGTTCTGCAAACAGCAGCTGCCCGCGGCCGATCACCTCCTCACCCTGCCTCAAAATCCGCGGTCGGGGAGTGCGGGCAATGGGCATCTTGGTGGCTTTGCCAGAGGTCAAATGCTTGGCCACTCGATCACGTTCAGCGCAGGTAAGTTCACCATTTCCCACTCTGTGGAGTAGGTGCCACGTCAGGCTCCTGAGTCGCAATGGTCACATCAATGCGTACCATGGTGCGAGTAGCCATCCAGGACATGGAGACAGAGGCAGAGCTGCGAACCATGCACCACAGAAGTCTGCAGCCAGCAACCCAATCGCAGGAGCAGACAACAAAGGGTCGAAGAATTTTTCTAATGGGCACCCCGCACCTGGAGGAAAGGAAAAGGACAAGGATAGCAACAGCACCCCCGCGCAGGAACCCGGAGGCCCAGCTCTCAATGCACCATAGCAAAATTTCGGCAAGGGAAAAAGGAGGGCTGAGGTTGGTTCAAGCAAAGAGGTCGCAATAAAAAATCAGGATTCGATGATTCCTCAGAAAGCATCGACGCACATGCTCGCAGGTGGGCTAAGACTAGACTCAAGCACTGTACAAACAACCTAGCCACCCCTGCTTTGGCAAAGCTGCTAACGGAGTCGCTATAAACCCATTCGGCATCGGCCGCAAAGGCCCGTTCATCTCACATCTTGCCGCAGATCGAGAGGGCAACTTGGCATGTCGAGCCGCTGGAACAAATGCCAGAACTGTAAATTAGCCTAACCCGAAATCTGTCAATGACCACATGCTGAACCAACTCTCGTAGATCCTTTGCAAGCTCGAGGTCCCCAGGTTTGATAAAGTTCGGCCTACCATCAAGGTTTTTGCTGCAGACGGGCACCCTCAAAAGGCGGCTACCAGAAACAGCTGGTGGAAAGTTCGGCACCTTTAAAGAAGGTTGCCAATCGTTGGGGGCATTCCCCGCTGCAAGAGCTGGCATCCTTCATTTCCATCCCACTAGTTTGGTCTGCGACCGCAGGTGTAGGTTTGGCGTGAGATGGCTTGAGCACCGGACAAAGCTTTACATTGCTGCTGAGTTAAAGTCTTGCACGAACTGTCGTCACCAGCACCTCTATTTGCAGGCGGCAGCCCAGTATCCTGAGGCGCATCTGAGACGCAGGTGCTCGGAAAGTCTCCATTAGCATAGCGGCAGCAGGTGTTATCAAGACAGCTATTCCGGGCAGAGCCCCTCTGGGCCTCTGGGTGCTCAAGCCTGCATTGCTGCCTCCTTTGCTCCTACTGCTGATGTACAACTAGGGAAACCTCAACGCAAGGCCAGCTTTCCCTCGAGTCTTAGCCTGGATTGAAACTTCGTGGTCATGTCGGCGTCCGAAGACCCATGCTGACGGTATCATTTTGGAAGCGCCAATTTCACAGAGCGTGCACCTGCGCGTTCTCCAACATCCTCAACGTGCTCAGGGCATCAGATATGTTGATGGTGGGGATCTGCGCTGCCCCAGCATCTTCCTCACAAGTTGCTGAGGTCGGTCGGCTGCGGTCGCCACCATTTTGCTCGAGGCTAGTTGCGGCTAGTTCGAACATCTCGCACGCACACCAGTGGCACATGTGTCAGATAAAGGGTCGCGTGCTCGAGGAAGCAAGCTATCATGCAGCCAAGGGGCTGGTCTCGGAACCACTTAGTGATGGACTCAACGGGATCCTGACATTCAGTTTGACAAAGCATAATGCGTGGACTCACCTAGGTGCTTCTGCCTCATGCCTTATCAGCCCAGGTGTAAACTGAGCCAAAATGCTAGATCCTCAACCCCATTCAAGACAAGTCCACGACCGACCCAGCTTTTCAGCGCAGGGCTTCTCAATACTTTTACACAGAGACTGGCTTGAGCAGCAGACGCCTGAAAGACAAGTTCGCTCTTTGAACATCTTGGTCAAGTCATAAACCCCTCCAGCACTCGAGTGACGATCACGGCCTGACCCATTCGGAGGCCAATCTGCTGGTAGAGTTTGTGTTTCTGGCGGGAGACCACGACAGGCAGAAGCACTGTAGGCAGCTAAGCGTTGGATGTCCATACATGGGCCGTGTGAAATAACTCCAATGCCTGTACTGCTGCCGAAAGGGGAAAGGCCCACCTTCACTGCAAACCTGCTCTCCACAGTCAGTACACGCCTTTAGGTGCATCAATAACTTCAGCCCTCAGCCTGTCACCATGCGGACTGAAATCACATCAAGGCCGAAAAGCAACCTGCAGGATACCATGAAACCATGGAGGCTCGTCCTGGATGAAAGGCGTTGTCGCATCCGTACCGAAAAGCAGAGCAAGCTCGATGAGAACCTTTGTATCTGTTACTTTGGTGAGATGATGGAGCTCTATGCTTCATCTACTTTGGAAAAAGGGCAAGGTGCTGGCATCACTCCAAAGAACTTGAGTGTTTTTTGGCAATGTTTTGTTGAGTTTCTTTCGCTGCATTCAGAGTTTAATATACGGCTGTATGCTGCGTTGCTGGCCGCAAGCAGACTAATATCGTTGCATAGACAGGGAAATACGTGTGCACTGCATGCATCTGTTGTCTATGCTGACGGATCAGGTACTCATGTTATCATCAGGTTGGCTTGGTAGATTTAGATTCAACCTGAAGTAGAGAAAAGATGTCCTGGCAAACGGTTGTATGACTGCAGTATAGCGTAACCCCTATTCAAATGTATGAGAGGCTCATATTGGACGTTTTGGGGTCGGTGCAGCAGCAGCCAAGGTAGTAATTTTATGACTAGCCTTGATGGCCTCAAGCTTTTGCTTCAGAGGCTGAGATAGACTAAACCGTCTGGGCATCCTTCCAGGTTGCGTCTTCCTCTGTACATGTGCTGGCACCTGACTGCAATCGACGCCTTGTGTGAAGCCAACTCTCGTAGGAGGATGATCTAAGCTAGTGCGTGATGTGCGAAGATTTCAGGTTGGAATGTTCAACTACCTATGCTGGTGGCAGTGTGAGAAAAATGAAGAAGAAAAAAAAAGGCCCGTCCCAAGCCGTCCTTCTGAAAATCTAAGGGTTCAGCTGCGTCATACCACCACTTTATGGGCCAGCCACGGCGGCCGAAGCTGCCTTTGGATTTGCCTCAGGGGCTCAAGCGCATACGGAAGCCCAGGCAGCGTAGCGGCGTAGGTGTTGGAAGTTGTTGTATCTAATTCTTGCGGGATGTCCTGGTTGCACGCACAAGCGAGATGGCAGAAAAATCATCCAACTGGGACATAAATTCCCTCTAGCAGCGCGCGTCTCTAAACTGTAAAAGCCTGCCCAGCTTCTACATCAGAACCAAGACCTCTCAACGCCATCAAACCACATCTCTAGCAAAATGCGTCCCAGGTTTGCGTGTGCTCAGGCATGGGCCCTTTGCAGCGTACTCCTGAACTTCCAAGTTGGCAGTTGTGAAGAATTCGCTGATGTTGACTTGATGGATTGGGTTGTTACTATCCGAAACCTTTCCAAGACGAGGAGGAAACACGATGGCCAAAAAACAAGTCTGCACGAACTCACGAACTCAGATGGACAGAAACTGAATCCCATTCGACGTAGGCAGCCATGCTTGCTGAAACCTGCCCTGACGAGAGTTGGCCGCAAAGAGTAACAATTTTGGATGCACAGGATGTTGGCAAGAGTATGCAAGGGTACGTTAACCGGTGGCCTTCAGGAAGTCTAAATCTAAGTTGCACTTCCAACCGGCGATGTTCAAAAGATTGCAGGTTGAATCGCCACGCCAAGTTGGCCTGACCTTCATCCAGGTGCAGAAACCCTACAAGGAGCCTTCAGGTCTTCCTCTTTCGGAGGATGGCCCAGCCTGTCCCGCACAAGACTTTCGGCATTTGTGATTTTGGCTGTATTCCACAGCAGCCAGGCCTCAGATATTCTGCTATGACGTCTGAGGACGTGTACGCCACGCTGAAGCCTTGGCTTCCGAGTTGTTTAAGTACCCGTCCTTTAAGTGTGAAGCATCAAGTTCCTGACTGTCAACTTCTGGCCAGCCGACCGCTCCTCCCTCCTGCGGCAGAACATCACGCTAGCAACTCCATATGTGCCAAACTCCACATGTGCTGCAAGCCAGCGGTCCATGTACTTGGGCTTTACGATGCCGTCCAAATCAAAGAATCTAAGCAGGACTCGACGTGACTTGGCACTGAAAGAACTGCCAAGTCTGTTGCGGCTGGGATCTGGACTGGAGAGGGATGAGCTTCACTCCTTGGCATACCGCCCAATCGACGTTGTCCGATACCTTAGCCACACTTGCTCTCCGCAAGTAAGTAGAATCGTCCGTGCGCGCAAGTGCACCCATTTCGTTGCAGGGTCTCCGGCAATGCCCCAAACATGTGACCACTCTGAGCCACGCCTGCAACGCACTGCATTGCCAATTCGTCCATTGTTCTTTCTTTCTTTCTTTCATACGGGCTATGAGAAGGCAAATGAGGACCCTCCGGGCATCCATGCCCAGCCCTTGTTGGGCTTCCAAAAGTTTCCAAAAGTTAATGATACATAGGGCTTAGGGATGGATATGGGGTCTCCCAAAATTAGGGAGATATAGTAGGGGACGTCCACTGTTCGCTCTGTCTGTCTCGCCTGGGAGGTCCGCGAAACATCTCTGGCAAACTATGTCACTACACATGAGCCCTTCACCAAGGCCTTGTTGGGAGCAATGGGGATTGCTCATCTGCACTGAGGTGCCACACCTGGCAAACGCAATCCTGCATACGCGCGGTTGAATGCGGTTGGACGGGCAAGCGGCCTGACAGCCGCACCGCGTCAAGGTAGCCACAACCTGACAAAATCATATCATGCAAGCAAGGTCGTTTGGCTGTTGACATCAGACCGCCATATGGAGGGCGATACGAAGGTGAATGGAGAACTAACGACATCATGGACGGATGTTGCACTTGAACAAACATCTCGCACATTGACCTCTGAATCCACCGTCGACCCTCGACCCTCGTCCGTAATGACAGCACATGCCGCTTGGCCAAGCGCTCCGCTATGAGACTCTGAACTGTAACAGTGCGCACGGACAGAAGCAATCATGGCTGCACGCATGAAATCTGGAGAAAACTTGAGGCCTAAGGAGCAATGGGGCCTAATCGGCTCAGGCAAGGCAAGTCTGACCTGCTTAAATCTGAACTCCGAGGCCAGAAATCTTAAACCCAAGCGTGTGTAAGCAGACCCTCAGGATCCCAAAGCACGTTCCTGCTCGTAGAAAAGCGGCGCAAGGCACCGCGCCTCCGACAGGGAGCCAAAGCGTAAATCGCAGAAAGGACTTATGCAAACTCAAAGCAGATCAATGCTGAGGTGCAGTTGTTCCAGAAGCTACTCAAAGTCGAAGTTCCTTCAAGGTTGGCAGGATGTCAAACACAAAGCCACTTGAAGCAGCTTCTCTTCAGCAAAATAACGAGCTGCACAGCCTCTAGCAGTTTGTTTGATAAAAGTGTCTCAGCACCAATCACGAATTCAGCGGCCTCTGTTATGTTTGGAAGATCATTCCGCTCTCCTCGGCACCACTGACGAACAGCCTCACATTGCGGGTATGCATGAGTTTCGGGGGCATCGCGAAGTTTGATGTGAAGCTTTGGGAGCATGACAATAGGGAAATCAAGTGGTCCGCCATATCTACAGAAGAAATGTGGACTTCAAGGGACTTTTGCACAGATCGCAGGTGAAGTTGATTCATAACAGTTCTCTGGCTAAATATACATGATTGAGAACACTGTCAGTCAAGGTTCCATGAGCCCTTCTGCTGATTGACCGTCCAGGAATTCTGATCCTCAACACTTGCCCACCCTCACTTCAAGCAATCGCCTCTGTGAAAGTCTGGACAATCCTGTAATTAGGAGACCCCGCCTTCGCTGCCTCTAGGCCCTGGCTGCAGCGGCGCTTCGCCTGCAAAAGGAGCTCTTGCAGGCTGCAGGACCATACCGTTAGCCTTTCAAACCATTTAGCTCTTTCACCACTATCCAAACTGAATGATAACTTGATGTCTTGAACAACTTCAACCACTTCGAGACTAAAATGCACTTCGGCTATATCTTGACCTCACTTATTCCTCATCGTACACTGCGTCACTGCACCCTATGCAGTTGCAACACCCAACACCCCGCACCCCAGAAACAAGCCAAATTCCAGACGAAGCGGGTCCAGAGATACATCAGGTCTGATGGCTCGCAATGTGTTGTGCGGATGCAAGGACGTGAGTTTATCTGGACTCAAGACTGCGTGCTGAGAGCCTAGTGTGTGCACACGACGGTGATCAATAAAGCTGCAGCTGGCAAATGTCACGGCGACATTGCGTTTGGCGCTCTTGCCATGATATGTTGGTTTTGTGGTTTGGGCGCCGTTAGTTGTAGCAGTGGCGCGTTGACCTTCTCAACAGATTCTGCGCTGAGTTGCGTTGCTTATTGGAATGCTGGGTCCGTCTTTAACAGATTTGGCCAACTGTGAAAGAGTGCGCGCAGAGGCTTGCTGCAGACTATACTCGGACCGTGCACCACAAGATCCAGAGCACGCACTCCAGAGCGAGCGCATTAGATTGAAGAACAATGCAGGAAAGACTTACTTGTACAGCCTGCAGCCGTAGATGTAAAGTCTGAGGTGCACGAAAAGGTTGCCCAAGGAAATCACAGCAGATCCATAAAACATCCCCGCATGGGCAAAAGGGATCCAAATGCTCTCACCTCTTCGGTCCACGCACTTGTCGCTGCATCCAGGAGCCCACAACCACGGGGAGGGTCCATGAAGAACTCAAGATAGATGCCTGGATGGGGAGGCTGCCCATAAAACAAATTCGGGCGACAAAAAGCTTGTTTGAGAAGATTTACAAGCACTTCGTTCCCCTCAGGCGTCCGGATTACAGTATTCTAGACCACGGGTGCATGCCAATGCATCGCAACCTGGGACCAAGTGCGCGGTGGGAACTCCGACCGAGCCCTTTGCCTGCATGGCGAAGGGCGAAGATCAGCTCGCACAATGCCTCGTCGTGCTGAGCAAAGTCGCTGCCATAGACCCTTGGTTGTCACGAGAATTTTGGCTCAGCTCTCGCAAGAATACTTGACATATCAGCGCTGCTCTTGTTGCTATGGTGCATAGTATGCTCTGCTGTTCACGGACAAGACATGGGGTTTGCACAGTTCACTGTCGTACGTCACGCTTCACCTCGCTGTAAGGGTGCTACATGAACCGCTTGCTGGAAAAACATTGACTACACAGGAGAGAAAAAAAGCAGAGAATGACAGAGCGGCCTGAACCTCACCAACAGCTTCCAAAAGTGTGTTGAACATATCCATCAGCTTATTCTGCGTGATCTTGCTGGCTCCACAATAATAGAACCTTCATGCCGAGAGATTTGCCAAGTATCTGGAAGGTGGAATCTGACTCCCAGCCCTTGGCTGCGCGGTCCACCTGCAAAGTAAGGTTTGCTGATGAGAGCTCAGGCATCTCTCCACTTCAACTGGAGTCACTGGTGCACTGAGCATCCTCAGAGCTTAAGCCCACAACACCCGCCAGTTATGTGAAACCTGAACATAACACAGCACCGCAGTGTCAAGTGCCTCAGGAAGAAACCAGGCACAGAAGTCAAGAACATCCACCAGCAGCGTCACACCTTCCACGGGAGCTGCAATGTCGGATGAAAACAGACCGCTGACTGACGTTGAAGTCCAGCGGCTACTCACGCCTACTCTTGCGCACACTCAGCTATTCTATTCGTTCTGCTCGGCCAAGGCACCGTTGCGGCCGTAGTACTGGGCCTCTTGGGCGAGGTCCACGCGTTGGGACATAGCATCAGCATGCCGCAGCACGTAGCTGAGCAAGCCGCGCACACCCATGGCGCAGGGCAGTGTCAAGGGGGCTCTGGTGCTGAGGGGTGGTCATGGCTCAAGACTTCAGAATCTGGGCTGTGCTCTCTGAGAGAAGCATGAGAAGTGAAAGCTTTGGTTGGAATGGGAACTTTCTTTCCAGGCAGTCTGGAAGCAGGAAACGAAAAAGCGCTAATCCGAGCTCAACAGTAACGAAAGCCCGTGAATGAAAGATGTTGTTGGGCCAGATCAGGGTCAAAGACTACTGTAAAAGCAGAGTCAATTTGCTAAAGGCCCCTAGAATTAATGAGAAATGCAGCCCTGGAGAAACAGGAAGGTTTTCTTAATCAGGAGCTCAATTCAAAAGGTATACGGTTCAGGTTGCAATCTAAAGAGTCTAAAGCTAAGGGCTTAACCTTGAAAACCCCAAATACTGAATAAGCAAGGTTTTGCTTAATAGAGAGCTCAGATCAGAAGGTTAATCAGCGCTAAAAATCAGAAGGGGAGAGTTGATTCTGAGACCTGATTCGCATATCCAAACTCATCAAAAAACCAGAGAGACGAACATTGCTTCCTGAGGCTACCCGGCACGTACCTAGCATGAGAGGATGTGTCTTCACGTGTATGGAAGAACTCTTATAAAGTCACAGTTTTCAGGGACTAACCTGATTCTGAGACCTGATTTACATTAAACTAAAGGGGAATCCAAAGGCTCAAGCATTGTTTGTTGAGCTGCCCCTTGCGGACGTTACGTCAGAGGATCTTCAAAGTTATGGCATTGTGGAAATCTCCTAACATCCTCTTCTTCCTACTCCTCCAACTTCTATTCTCGCTTTTGCTGTAGCCTTGCTTGACCTGTTAAACACTACTTAAGCACGAGTACAAGTTGTACTTTATATCAGCTACTTTCCCATTCAGGGTCAGCACTTGCTATTCCACGGAGTTGCTCCTTGTTCATTACCCTTTTGTTGCACCAGGGGTGCCAGTGGGACAACATTACTATTGAAGAGTGAAGCGCGGGGATTACACTCTACACCACAAATGCCATGGCCAGAGCACACGATTTTGCTTTTCGCGGCCCAAACAACGTTCACCGCGCAAGGCAAGAAACCCGCTGGACCGACTGAGGACGGACTCGTGAGGTTGCAACCCGAGCAGCCCGTGCGGTTGGCACAGACTTTGGTCCAACACCTGCTGCTTCCAGTGGCGGTATCCCCTAGAGGACGCCATGGCCTGCATGAGGTTCTACTGGGTTTAGATGTGAACGATAAAGTTCTCCTGTTTTACAGCATGGATGCTTGTCAGCACTTTCTACAGGAACAACTGCAGCCCTGACGCATTTGGGACATCTCTGGCTTCATGCGGCCCGTGAAACAAGGCGGAACCTTGGCGTCCAGGCACAGGCCCGCGTTCGTTATCATGAGCGATGCACGCTCATGTCGAAGACCTAGAACAGCAATGCCCAGCTGCATCATGTTTAAGTAGGCCTACGGGATGGACCCGGGATCCATGAAAAAGCTCAGCTTCGACATGGAGCGCCACGCTGCTCTCGCTAATTTCACAGCCACCCTGCAGGACTGGTGGAGGCAGCCATAGCACGTAGCTCGTAAATATGCAACAGCTTTAAAACGCACGCAAGGGATCCTCTCAAGCCGCCAAGCCTGCAGGGAAGCTTCACCGGGCTCGCATGAAGCGGCCCAGCACTAATTGCTTCTGGCTTCACAGTAGCAAGGCGAACACAGCGCTCACAGCTGTCTTTGCCTCTTCAAGATACGGCTACACTCTCTCTAGGCATATAGTGCCGAAGAGGTGACCGCTCCGTGGCATGCTGGCATTTCTGCATCCATTGGCCTTGTCTTGCCCATGAAACTAAGCTGTCAGAATGGAAGGGGGTCGGTCTGGATGCTGGGCAAGACTAAGCCTGAAGCTCAAATTTGGGGGGCGCTCTTGCTCGTGAAGAAAATGCCAGCAAGCCGCATCTCCTGCCTGCGCGTCCTTCAACATCTGTGGCCCATGCAAGAAAGATTCTTCGATGGTGGCGAGACACAGCATCCCAAGGTTCACATGTATTAAGGGTGCCCGGAGTGTCAAATCCGTGTGTGGGTTCAACCATGGAATTCGGGCACCTGAAATTATATAGACCTTGGTCCGCGGAGAAATGATTTGGCCTTGCCAACATTTGATGCATCAAATCCTGCTCTCCCCAGCACTACAAATGACTTTGAAACTGCAGGATTCAGAGCATCCAAGGTCTGACTAGGCCGGCACACAACAAACAAGCGCATGCATTGCGCTGAACGATCGCACCGAGGGGTAGGAGTTCCACAGATGGCTGCCAGTCTCGACAAAAGCAAAAACATAGGATGCAAGCCTATGGGGTAAACTTCAAAATTTTTCGGCTCCCGGGACCTCGCCAAACCCCAAGGAGTTGTGCAACAGCTTTTCTTCGCATGCAGGCCTAAGAGAGCTTGCCAGAGTCTTTTGACAGGATTTGTTCTTCTAGATGTGCCTCTCGCATTTCCGCAAGGACCAAGCCAGGAAACAATATGGCGAAGGTGTATCGCCCTCAATCTGACTGTGGCTGACCTGCATCAACTACGCGCAAGCTGCAGTCAGTCCCTGCCCCACATCGCATGTTCAAACTGTGCAGTTTCGCGAGCATTGCTTGGCCTGGATTTGCGGCAGGCGCATCAGTCGCAGGCAACCTGTCCTGTCAAGCAAGAATGCAAAGATCGTTAGTGACTTTCAGAACTGAAGGTCGGTTGTTGGACAAAAACCGCCTCTGCCACTTCCACTTGGTCCATGTCGGCTGATGTGGCCAAGCCTTTTGGGAGCAACTACACATGACCGTACTGCAGCTGCAGAAGGACATTCCAAGGACCAGGCTAATGTCTCCTGCATCACTTGTCCTTGGTACCACCCAAGCACCCAAGCTGCGATACCTTCCTCGACGCAAGGCCTCTTCCCTGCACCGAGATCCGAACGTGGTTCGGGACTCTGCAGTTGAGCGAATAGAGAAACTCTCAATGTTCCGCCTGCTCTCAAACAAAGCTGTCTTGCTGACTTTGATTTAAACTCGGAGCATGGCTGAAAATTTGACAGCCAGCAGAAAGCCTCACAGCCAATGCCCTCAGCTCAGCAAAAGCCCGCACGTGGCCGCGAAGTGCCTGTGGCTCAACACAATAACGCACCTGGCATGCAAAATGCCCCCAGGAGCATAGGCAACTGCCTGCCGAGCAAAACTTGGCTCAGCTGCAACTCGGCGCAAGGGACCACGAAACCTCGATTCAAGCCAAAGCAGCAAGCGCCATTTGAAGAGCCACAGCCGTGATGGAAGTTCTTTTGTGCAAGCTGTTGCTTGAGAACTTAAGCCTATGCTCTGCAGCTTCTTGTGGGGCCTTCAGCCACTTCCCAGCTCTTGGTTCCAGTACCATACGATCTCTCAAATCTCTTTGCATGTCAGGTTCTTACTTTTCTCGATGTCTGCCTCGCTTTGGCAGCTGGAGCTTCTAAACCTAACCCCTTTCAACCGTGGTTTCACAGCGCAAGGATTGTCAGTTCGCCTGAGGTCTCTCTTTGATTGTTGGGCCTTCATCTTGTCGCAGCGTCTGGGTTTGCCCCTGCTTGAGATCTAGAGAGCTTCGCTCAGCAACATGGGAGCAATCAGGTGTTTGCGTGCATAAATGTTCTACCATGTTTTGTGTTATTTTGATGTGCAGGAAGCTATTTGCGCTACTTGGGAAATGAAAGAATGCTCGACGCGGGAGCTCGATTTCAAGCCGAGATGTGAGGCGGCTCCCTGCGAGAGCTCAACTGCGTATCCATTTTTCAATTGTTCATCTGGAATCTGAAGATACTCCACATAGGCGCTTGATTTTGTAACAGCGTTTGAGCATGTGGTTTGGCGTGGCTTGATCGCGAGGTTGTCAGGGGATGCATCCACCCTCTTGCAAAACATGGACAAAGATAAGAACAAGTAGCTTTGTGCTGAATTTTGATAGGATTTCTCAGGCGCGTCTGCCATTAAAAATGGCGGGGTAGTTGAGGGGGGCCGCCCCTGCATTCGCAAAACCTACAAAAAAAATGAGAACTTGTAGCCTTCTGCCGCCTGGGCGCATCATACACCCTCCCCAAAGCATAACATGTAGCTTCTTGCTGAGTGGATTAGGGACTCAGGCAAAACAACCCCTACATAGTCCCTGTACAATACATATACCCTATTAAATATCCCTATAAAACTACCCATGTAATAAATTCCCGTGCAACTGGCAGCGGGTCTGGGGGAGGCTCAGCCTTTGGTGCCACCGCTTACAACATATGGATGAAAACGAGAACATGTGGGGGTTTCCCAAAATTAGGGGTGACTTTTTGGGGTGCCAATAATAAGGATTAATCCGATTATAATATTGGGGATATTGGGGTCCCCGTTTCTGAAAAACTACCGTGTAGCTGCAGCTTCTTTCTGAGGTGTTGATGGGGTTTGCCAGCCCAAGTTTTGCAGCGGGCGCGCGGCACCTCGTATTTGCAAAAGCATTCACGAAGATGAGAACAAAGAGCTGCTCGCTAAGTCGTGAAGGAATTCCCAAGCTTTTTTTCCAGATTCGAGAGGATTGGCGGGGGGTCAGACCTCCGGATTTGCAAAACAATGATGAAGAATGGGACATTCACTTTCTTGATAAGTTTGACCTTGCCAGGCGTTGCGTTTGCTTTTAAACATCGCAGGGGGCGGTTCGGGGGGCGCCCTCCCAATTTTGCAAAACATGGAGGATAGATGCGAGGATGAGTTTATCAGCATGTGGCTAGTTGTTGTTTGGTCCTCATGCACCATGCTTGATGCCTTGAAAGCAAACAGAGGGTTGGGGGGCACCCCCGCACCATTTGCATGAAATGCACGCAGATCAGAACATGCATTAACGTTTCACAGGGCAACTACGAAAAATTGGCCTTGCAATATCGAGTGGCTGCGGCAAGCACACAAAAGGTCCGCTTACTCAAAAATCCTGCACAACAGAGTCATATCAGTTGATGGCAGACTCCAGCAATGGTGTGCATCTGCAAATGGCACAGCCCTTATGGCCTGCCGCAGGCATAGGCCAGAAACAATTTGACCGTCTAACCATGGTTTTCAGCAAGCAGACGGCCGCCATCACGCAAAGAATTGCCCAACGCGCCCAGCAGAGCATTGCATGTCAGACTTTCGATCGAAGACCTGTTCCAGCATCGTGGGAGGCCGTTGCCCGCTTTCCCAAGACCCCATGGTTTGGCATCTTGTCTTGTGGCCTGGATCAACGCAGCCAAAAACAGCGACTTTTGCAACTGGCAACTCAGGTCATGCCTACAACCGGCCAAGGGGCCGGAGCTGCGGCTCAGCTTGGCAAAGAACTGATTCTTTCACTTTAGCCCAAGGAACCCGAAGTAGAAGACTCCGTTCCCAAACCGCAGGAAGGCGCTGTGTAGTGAGGTCTGCCCAGCGTCAACATAGTGCCCACAGCCGGCCGCCCCTTACGGGCCATGAGCGGCTTTGAGGGTGGAGATGCACCGGCGGACTGCTGACACTCCGATAGTTCATAGTGATCCCACCTCGCCAACCCTTCCTGACGGGCACTAGCTGCACTAGCTAGAGTGCAGACCATGTCTCTTCCTAGACATCAGTAGACACGTATTCTTGAACCACTGAAAGCACTGGACATGCCCTATGCTCCTGGTGGGTGGCAGGAATCAAAAACGTGGGCTGCATTGCATGCCTCACCAGGGCAGCAAGGCCATTGGCATCATCTGCCGGTGTCTCTCTTTCAAGTTGTCCAGTATGAAAATATGTTAGTGTTGTCACATTGACCTTCTGGGGCTCGTTGCTGCGTAGATCGTTCCATTTCACGACAACCTCTACAAAGGACGGCAACATGCATTATGGCCCCTGGTCGTTTTGCAAGGTCAGGAGCAGAGAATGGTTGGCTTGAAGCCACCTTTCCCAGAATCGGGGGTTCTCCGCGCTTGAAACATGTTGTGAGGTCGGCTTGTTCTCGGGTGACTGCCCTTGCCTTAGCCCTTGGCGCGGCCAACAGCCTAAGGCTGGATGAAAGACAAGGATGTTATGGTACCCAGGCGAGGCCAAGCTGGAGCCGGTCCAAGCCTTGGCGCCACAGCCGGAGGACTTCACGAAGGATGCCCTCATGCATGTGCCTCCCTTGCAATGGACATGCACAGAGTACAGTCATCATGATACTGGAGCTGAGTTTGCAAGACTCCCGAGACGTCGAAGCATGTCGAATTCTCAAACGTTTGCAAGGAGTTGTCATCAAGCCCTCCCACACGGAGCCAAACCCTCTGGTGAAGGAGCCCAGGAATGAACCTTCGGAATGAGAGGCAGGGCAATGCACTTTTCTCCCGATGTAGCCGGTCCACTCATCTCTCCGCCCAAGTATCTCCACCCCACTGCTGCCAGAATAGCTGGTCCACCCTGATCACCTGTCTTATGTCAACACTACGGTGCAGCTTCATGCACATATCACTGACTGCCAAACGGCAGTCTCGTGGGGCAGTTTGCTGCAGGCAGGGCAACAAGCCATGTTCTGACCTTGCTCCTGTGGCAAATGCTCTTGAGAGGACGGTGCAGCCTGCACACGCGGCAGGACTGCCCGGAGCTTGTTGGTATCCGCATGATTCCATCACCATGGCAGAAGGTGCCACTGCTGTTCAGGATGAGGCTGAATGCATGGCATCACCAGGCGTTGCCACATCGCTTTCTAGCACCTCCCTCACTTGCTGCTCGGTTACAGCACATCAAGTGTAATTGCTATGTCATCTGCTTTCAGCATCGTAGCTGATCTCCAGTCGCCTGCTTGCCTGCTTTTAGCTCTGTGGAGCGGGGCAAACACCGGGAGTTCAGAGATGAGCACAAGTCTCTCTCGGCTAGGCCGTTCCTTGAAGAGCGCGTCTCATGTATGCCGCACAAGGGTCTCTTCGACGTTCTCGATTTTCACAGTCAAAAAAAATCTTGTTTTTTTCCTTCTTGCTTATGCTTTCTTTCAAGCGACTGCATGGACCGCAGGCACTGAGCATGCAGCATCTCTTCCGGCTGCCGTCGCAGGCTTTGTCGCAACACAGAAGCCTCAGCTGCAACGGAGAACGAGGTCTTTCAGACTCCAAAGGTTCAAAGGCAGAGATTCTGAGAAGCCAGCTGGGACTGCCAAACCAGCAGCCTCTCGGTACTCCTAAACAGATTGACTGTCGTGGCAGGCATTCCTCTGGCAAAAGGCAAGATGGCGTTTGATGCATGCTGGCAGAGGCGATGCACTTTCACTCGTCAAGCCAACAACAAAGTCTATGCTTCAATACTGTACCCCAGGTAACATTATATTGCATGCAACACATTCAGAATCTCAGGCTCGCGTCCTCTGGCATGTCCCACCACCAGCGCAGCACGTCAGCGAAGGCAACCTTTCATCTTGGGCCGGGTTTGCTTCAATCGCCCCATCCATTTCCGACAATCAGTCGCAACCCCGAAAGTGCTGGTTGGACACCAGGGCAAGGCCAGCAGTTATTCTGGGACCGGGTTGGAATCCTAACATGCTCCATGATTTGAAAATGACCGGCTACCATTTCCGCTGAGGATGCTGCAACCGTCCGTCTACGGTCGTCAAACAAATTATCCACAGATCTCCGCTGGCACTGCCGCCGGAGTCTGCCCAACTCCTGGCGCGAGCACTTACCAAGCACGACATTGAAACTTGGAAGCACTTAAGAAATGCCAACTGTTTGCTCCTTGTGTCTTAATACACTGAATGAAAGCAGCCACGGCTAAGCGAAATACCTGATGCTTCCCAGCCATTGGGAAATGAAGATTGTCAGCGGAGCGGAGTGAACACAACACTGCGGGCGCTGCGGGCGTTGGGACCTGCTTATTGTGGACAACGTGCACAACGGACTTCTTGAATGTTGTGCAGGATGCTCTGGGCGATATTTTCCCCTCGTGCTTGTCAACTGTTTTGCACCCCTCTTCCTCAGCCCAACTCCTGCCGGACTTTTCGCGAGTTCTTCTTGCCGCAAGTAAAGCACAACCCGTGACACTCCTCCGTCCCTTAGGATCAGGTTCCTTCCCAAACTTGTGCCCTAATTGACAAAACCAACCGCTACACATCAGACATCTTCGAAAATAGCTTTGCAAAAGCAGCCACTGTGAAAGAAGCTGTCTTGCTGTGTGCGTTCTTGCAAGACAATGAGTACTTTTGAGTGAGCGACGGAAGCCTCACCGTGGCAGAGTGCCTTTTTCATGTGTGCACGCATCCGACGCGTTTCCGGAGTTAAGGAAAGGACCACCCGCAAACAGCAAATCGTTTGTGCATTTACGAGGCGACCAGTAAAGTAGCGGCAGGGTCACACGCATAAACTACAATTACCTGGCTCTGAACCTCCCATGATGGTTACCCTACTTCCGTCCAAACCGCCCCCAGAAAATGTGTATGTTGCATGCAAGCTTTGCATTTGCACAGAGACTAGCCTTCGTGAAAGAACTTGAGAGCACTGCAGACAAAAGCTAGTACACCAGCTACCGTGCACACGTGCTGAGACATGGACTCTGACACAAGTTCCGGCCCGGGTGCTGCGACTCTGAATACCAAAATTCAACTTCAGCTCTCCAGCTTGAAGATTTTCAAGCTGAGATTCTTTGAAAAGTCTGACCTGGTTGCCAAAATCGAACAATACCAAACCACTTCAGCCTTGACACATTCAGAGCAACAAATGTCAAAATGCTCAAAAGTATATGAGGCTAAGATGTTCCACAAATGCTGGCGGTCTTCAGGTCAAGGCTAAGTTTTTGAATCATGCGGTCGCTACAAAATGGAGGTGGGGACGTTGACTGACATCTTAAGCCCTTCGGGTGAGGTCCTCTTGGGCAAGCCTCTCAGTCTCTCAAAACAACCTGGCAAACCTTCAAGTTACGTGCTGCGCAAGAACCAATTCTGGGCAAATAGAAGCCCCCCTGACTCCAAGGAGCTAGCTTGCGCGATTTGCCTGGAACCTCCGTCCATGGAGGCGCGGGGTCCAACCCGGTGACTCTGGTCGGCATCAAGTGCCAGAAGTGCCCAAAAGAGCAGACGGTCAAGACGTCTAGAACGTGCGAAACCGCAAAGTCTTTAATCTGCTGTCCGGGTAGAATGCGCACTTCAGTGCCTGTAAATTGTTGGTACTCTGTTTGAGCAGAACATGCTCTGAAAGGATGCAGAATTGATTTGGGAACCTTGTTGCTTGTTTGCTTGGTTTGCGAAACTTGTTTAGTTTTGCTGTTCTTCCTTGTTCTTGCACGCTCTTTCCATTCATGTTTATGGAGACTGCGCCTGTAAGAGGCTGTGTGGTTGAACAGATTTTTGCAGCGGGGATGGGGG